TCTTACACAATCGATTTGACGGAGAAACCGATAAACTGCTTTCGGAACCATATGGCATTACAAGAGGCACGCTTTCTTCTGAAGAGGAATTTCATACTTTTCATCGAAAAAAAACGGAACATAATAAATTTCGTCGATAAGGACACCCTAAACGAAACAGTAAAGACCGTCATTAACCCAAATGTGGTTAAAGCGTTTTACTGTACTCTCCCAATCCTTTCCGACCACGAGATTTCGGTATTGCAAAAACTTCGTGGCCGACACGTTTGACGTCCGTGATAGAAGAGAAATCTTCACTAAGGAACACAATCGAGCCCATAGGCAGGCTCAGGAGAATGTGAAACTGGTTATGACGGAATACTATTTTCCTAAAATGACCAAATTGGCTAATGAGGGGGTCGTTATCTGTTACATTGGTACAAAAGATAAATACGAAGGACACCCAAAGCAGCAGGAATTTGACCAACGCAACTTCCCTCAAAAACAGGAGAAATGTTACATATCGACATTTTCTCGACAGACAAAAAATTCTTTTTGACTTGCGTGGACAAATTCTCAAAGTTTGCGGTGGCTCGTGACCGCCCCTGATAAATTTAAGGAATATTTTCCCTTCGGCTAAGCAGGTATATTGCGACAATGACCTCGCATTCATGTCAGAGACAATCAGGTCTCTGCTATTAAATAATTACGGCGTCAGCGTGGTAAACAAGCCTTCCTCTCATAGCACGTCTAATGGACAGGTAGAAGGCTTTCACAGCACTCTTTTGATAATAGCTAGGTGCTTAAAGCTACAAAAGGGTATAATTGACACGTTCGAACTCATCCTGCAGGCCACAGAGTCTTTGAAGTAGGTGAAAAGGTTCTGGCTTAGACGAACTGCAACTAGACAACTAGTTTCTTCTTATTATTATTAATATTATATTTAATACTATAATTTGGTACCACAAAAAGAGCGCTATCGTCCAGGCCATCAGCTCTCCTTAAAATAATTGCTTTTATATTTGACTGGTTAAGTTACGTGCCTTAATAAAGTTGTGAGTCTTATCTATGTTAGAGGGCGAGACTAGGGATAAGTAAGTCGATGGTAATGAGTTAGGGAAGTGGGTTCTCCGTATCTTTTCCAGTATTCGGCAAGTATATAGGATGTGGGTGCAATGTCCGATGCGAAGGCGAACGAAGAATGCACAATTCGATCAAGAAAAGTTGACAGGGAAATGCAGTTTTTTTTTTTCTTCTTATAAGTGTGTCCCGAATCTAGACAATTGTTGGGTTGGAGTTGAAAATGTTGTCGATGCCATATCGACACTAGACAGACTGTCGGTGCAGATGTTAAATTTTCCAGATTTTCTTTGAGTGTAGCTTATAGCATTTAGAATGGCTACTGCTTCCGCCGAGAATATCGAGCATTATTCTGGGTGGCATCGAGCTGTAATAGTTTTGCCATTTTGATCGACGATTGAAAACATATTGATATCGTCTGTTTGTCACTGAATAACCAAGTTAAGTTTTTATAAATTGGTTTGCCTGACTCTTCGGCAAATAGCTTACGGGAAATTCAGCATTGGTGCTATTTTTTGGCGGTGTTGATGGAAGATGTGCGCAGAAGCCACAGTGGTGCTGTTGGCTTTCTAGCCGAAGGTGGTGGTAAAATGTTTAGTTCCCTGGAGAGGGCGGCGCATCGACGTAGTGTGGTACTTGCATTTTATTCTCTTATTAACAGCCTTATGCATATCATTTTGAAGCAGTTGGTTTGGGGAGCAGAAAAGTTTTGGTATAAGTTTAGTTGTCGTTTATATAATTTTGTCCTCGATAGAGGGCAGACCAGCTACCACTAGAATGTACCTTATTGGGGATGTTGGAAAGGCATTAATACTTCGGCAAACAGCAGTATGGCAGGCTGGCTTAAGCATTCGACTTGGCACGCCAACCATATATTGGCAATGCATTGTGAGATTATTGTTAATTAGTGAGTTTTTAGAGGTAAGGTATTTAATTTAATTAATTTAAGTCATTCTCTTATCGAAATATACTCCGAGTATCCTAAGAGCCTGGACGCATTCTATGGCAAAATTATTAAAGCTCAAACTAGTGTATGTACGTCGGTTTTTTTTTTTTGCAGATTTGCAGGATTTTACATTTATTAGGTGAAAGGGTTGCACCAGAGACTAGCCCCCAATTATAAATTTCATTAAGTATATTACTAAAAATTATATTAAATTTAACAATGTCCTTAATTTTAATGAATATTATGGCATCATCTGCGTACATTATAATCCTAATTTCCTTATATTTCAAACAAATTCTGTGATTTTCTTTAAATGCGATAATAAATAAAAATTACAAACAACGGCGATCCTTGAGGAATGCCGTTGTGCAGATTGTGGTAGTTGGATCCTAGCGTTGTTGATCCCAGCCCGAAATGAGCGCCGGGTCATAAAATCCTTCACTATACTGAAGATTTTCACACTCACCCCCACTTGGCGAGCTGTTGAATAACTGAATGAACTTCGAAGCGATCAAATGGTTTTTCAAAATCAGTCGCCGAAAAGGTGACATGATTTTTGGTCGAAAGAGCATATGATACGAATCGCTGCAACTGCAGGAGGGAATCCATCGTGCTGTGCTTGGGTTTGAATTGATCTTATGAATTTATTTGTGGTAATATACCACAAGAGTCTGCGAGCTATCATTTTCTTGAAAGTTTTGGCCATTCTTGAAAGAAAGAAAATAGGTCGGTAACTGGAAATTTAAGAAGACGTCTTGTTTTGCTTTGGAATAGGCACTATAACTGCGATTTCCATGAATGGGGATACCGGCCCACCTTAAACATGCAATTATAAAACCTTAAAAGCTCTGCCTTGCCTGATGGCCGGTACCTGCTTTAGCATAGGATATGAAATACGGTCGTGACCGGGTGTATTACCCTTGGCTTTTTGTAGCGCAGTTACGAGCTCAAGTTCTGTGAGGTCGAATTCGAGTTGCCTGGCTGACAAGCTAAAGCTGCTGGGAGAGTGCAAATATTCAAGGGATAATTTCATTGGTCGAATGTATACGTTATCAAAGTTACTGTTCTTCGAATAGTCTGACTAATTTTTGGAAAATTCGTTGGCTATATCAAAAGGGAAGGTTATTAAACTGTTGTTCGAGTTGATGCATTTTAACTGCGGGGCTGGGATTCCCACAAGTGATTTTATGTCAGGCCAAATTTGTTTTGATGTAGACTGAGGTGTTATGTTGGATGTGAAGGTACCAAAGCACTCCTCTTGGCTATTTTAACTGCACGCTTGAAGAGAGCATTCGATCGATTTTATTGGCAATAAGATTCGCGTCTTTCATTCTATGCTTATAGGCTTGCCAGAGCTGTTACTTCCTTTCCCGTAGATTCCCAAGATTATTATTCCACCAACGTAGTTTTTTATACCCTGAACTCATTAAAAATGGGAATAAGGTTATATTTTATTTGTGCAAAATGCAAATGTTTGTAACAGGCAGAAGGAAGCATCGACCCAATAAAGTATATATATTCTTGATCAACACCAATAGCCAAGTCGATCTAGCCATGTCCGTCTGTCTGTCTGTCCGTATGTCCGTATGTATGAACGCAAGGATCTCAGAACCTATAAGAGTTAGAGACTTAAAATTTTTGATATCGGTCCTCCTAGTGCCTGCGCAGATCGAGTTTGTTTCCGATAATCGATAACTTACTCCGTTTCCAAGCAATCGATATCGACATCCTGATTTTTGAGCAAATTGGGTACATAATAAGAGCTAGAGTCACAAAACATGATATGTTGCTTCTAGAATATTATATATATGTCAAGTATCTTTCATTTTATACCTATTGCCGCCTCCCCGCTACCACCCCACAGCTATAAATCAAGTTAATAACCCAACTTTTATTGCCAACCAGCCAAGTAACCGCACTACTTGCTGCCGTCTCTCCTCAACAGCCACACCAGCCCAAAAAAAAAAAAATGGTTTCCCCAATAGGTCTCAAGCTTGCGACTGACAACACAACTTGACACCGCCTCTACTCAACAGCCACATCAATATTTGAGTCTTAGTGAGAAAAAAAACCAATAAAATAGTAGCACAGCAAACAATACAGTCGCAATTATAATGATTTTGATGAATACGAAACAGAATATATGAATATGTGTGTGTACATTCATACTGATGTTCTTCGAATTTGCGCTGGTGCCGCAAACTCGTATTTCTTAACCGATCTTCATGAATTTTTTACAGCATTACTTATAGTATCATAGAATATTTGTGTATTCTCAAAAAGTCAATTGCGTTTAAATTGTGGCTTAAATGGCAATAGCAGTTGGGTTATTATCTTGATTTAAGGTAGTAGCGGGGAGGTGGTGATAGGCATAAAATTAAGCTCTTATTATTTACCAATTTGCTTAAAAAACCATAATTTCGATATCGATTATTATCGATTGCTTGGAAGTGGAGTACACTATCGACCATCGGAAACGATGATTCTGAGACCCTTGCGTTCATACATACGAACAGACGGACAGACAGACAGACGGACATGGCTAGATCGACTCGGCTATTGGTGCTGATCAAGAATATAAATACTTTATGGGGAAGGAGGTACTTCCTTCTGCCTGTTACATACATTTGGATTTTGCACAAATACAATATACCCTTTTACCCACTTTTAATGTGTTCGGGGTATAAAAATGCGCGCGGCGTGAAATGCATTGGGTGTTGTTAGAAATAGGTTCAGAATATCCGTGACTAAGCCTTACTTATTTCAAGATGACTTTATATATGTCATAACACTTATACCTTCAAAGTCTATATGTCCATTCACTATTTATTTGTATAACTTTATGGGAGACTCTTTGCAACCAAATGATCCAATAAGGTTTTTCATTTGGAATAGGTTTATCTCCACTATTGAGCTTATCGTTAGATTTCGATAATTTCCTTAACATTTTATTAAACTGAAAATTAATACAAATATTATAATCTCCAACCCACAGACACAAAGGTGGACCTTCATCTGCAATAAATAAATTTTTTCTTGCTCTACTTCACAAGGCACGTTTATCTACCGATGTATATACGTTACTGTTCTTATGTGACTTTATAAATTTCTTTGTCTTGTTATTTGGATTCCCAAAGTTTGTGGTAAGTTGTTTTCTCTTGTAAGTCTTAATATTCTTAATTATATATGATGCTTCTGTAATGTCCTTCCAGGAATATTAATAATATTAATTCTTATTGTTACTTGTACAACAGAAAATCCAATTCATTGACAGACTTGTTATAAGCCACCACTTACCAAGCAACATATAAGCCGGACAACCAGTAGAAGACACTGGGGCGTCTCGTTTTATATGCGGCCAAATTCGCCTTCGTTTTTGTTCAGGTTCGACATACGCTCGGACAGCAAGAGAGAAAGGAATACATATGACTTGGGTGATAGAACGGCATCGCTGCTCTTTTTTATTCGCGAATACCGCAGGAAAATGAATTGGCTTACTTTCAGAGCTCTTTCAGCTTGTGTATTTTCCCGTGTACATGTACAGGTTTGCAACATCGTCGCGAAATCCCTGCATTTTAGCTCGTTATCGTTGGTAAGGGTACCTAAGCGCTGGCATGTGTGCATTTAAAATATTTTGAACTGGTTTTCACGTATACTTGCATATTTTGAATATGAATAGAAGAATTTATACGCTTGTGTGCATGTTGGTTGCCTGACTGCATGTGCCTTGCAAATTTGACAAGATTTGAAGCTTCTGTGATTTTTGTTTTTCAGGCGCTAAACACACACATACACATACAAAAATGTGTGTGACTGGACGACCAGTAGAAGCCGCTGGGACGCTGGTCCAAATTCGCCTTCATTTTTGTTCGGGTTCGCGACACGCTTGACCGTTTAGACAGCAAGAGAAGAAATACATATGACTTGGGTGATTGAACGGCATCGCTGCTCTTTTTTATGCGCTCACACTGCAGAAAACTGCTTTGGCTGTCAGTGATATTTCAATTCGTCTATTTACCCTTTAACTGTCAGTGTATGTGTATTTTTCTCAAAAGTCGGTGGCTGTCCCTTGCAAATTTGACAAGATTTGAAGCGCTAAACACACACATAGACACACACAATTGTGTGTGATTGGGAAGATCATGGGCGTAAAATTATATTAGGGTCTCATGCATTATTATTATTTTCATCGTTTGTTGTCTGGCTGACTGAATTATTGGTGCATAGAAATCAAACTTCAAACAATTAAAGGCAGATGATAGACAATGTAGTAAGTAGACAGACACAAGCAGA